TTACCAGTCTATGAATAGTACCACCGATCTGTCAATAGTACGATCGGTCTGTCAATAGTACTACCGGTCCGGGAGTTGGTATTATTTTGGTCCGGAAAAATTACTATATATGTTTTATATTTTCTTTAATATTTTTGGAGTATGTATGCTGGTTTAGAAATAAGTAATGAATTATTTTTGGAGGAATGTTAGATAATTATGGAATAGTTATGATGCTTTATTAATTAAGGAAATTTGAGGAATTATTTTTATGGAGTAATTTGAGAAATTTATGGAGATAAATAATATTTTGAAGGAATTGATTTGAAGCATATTTTTAGCCATTAGATGAGATTACTTTTGACTTGATCTTAACCATCCAATTGTGGGAAAAGACCAAAACACTCTTAGTTGCTTTATAAAGATCAACTCCAATAAAACACCCTTAGTTGCTTTATAAAGATCAACTCCAATAATTGAGCAACCACTTTTTCTCTTCTTCTTCTTCTCTTCAACGCCAATTTCCTCTCCTTATATACACTACCTATTAAGGAAATAGGTCTAAATTCATGCAAATTCTATGGAGAATCTTTCTTCGATATCAAAGTTATAAAATTGGAGTTAATTCCTTTTGATAGTTTGCCTATCTCAAAGAATTCTTGAAAAATTCTACATAGATACTCTTTTATAATACCCTAACTTTGCTTATAAAACTCTATTGTACACCCATCAGGTCCTAGTGCCTTGGAAGATTCATAACTCCACACAGTAGCTCTGATCTCTTCTTCAGTAAATGACAATTCCAAAGAAGCACTTTGATCAGAAGAGAGGTGCTTACAGGAATTAGACTTAAGAACAGGTCTTGGATTACCCGGCTCGGCATAAATATTTGAGAAGAAGGATTTTATAGCAGCTCTCAATTGTTTGCAATTTGATATCCAACATCCATCTACATATAGACCGCTAATATAATTCTTGACATATTTACGGTTCACAATAGAATGAAAAAAACTTGTAGTTCACATCTCCCTCCTTTAGCCATTGAACTCTAGATATTTGTCGCAAAATGCTGTCATTGTAGCATTGAAGAGACCATAACTTTTGAGATAAATCTTTCCTGAGATCACTTTCAATTTCTGATAAAGCTCGATTTTCAGCCTTCATATCTAACTCATGGATGGATTTTTGACACAACAGCATCTGTTCTTGGATAATACCAAAAGTAGAACGATTCCACTCTTTTAATTCCAATTTGAGCCTTTTAAGTTTGCTTACAAAGACAAATCCACCCCTCGCATAGATATTGTCTTTGTTCCAGTTGTCTCTAACCAGTTTCAAAAAGTCTCTACAATCACACCAACAATTGAAAAATCAAAATGGTTTAGGTCCCCAGTCAATAGTTTTCTCACCAACAAGAATAGGACAATGATCTGAATAAATCCTTTTCAACCCAACAATTTCAAGCCTAGGCCAATTGATCAACCATTCATTACTCACAAGGAACCTGTCCAATCTACTCATTTTACTACCGGAGCTGTTAATCCAAGTGACTTTTCTGCGAAGTAAAGGGAAATCAATTAGACCACAAGCTAAGAAAAAGGAATTAAAATCATTACTGCTTAAGGAGTCATCTCTGCATCCCTCTCACCACATTAAAGTGACCAGCAACATAGAAGAGGCTTGAATTATTCATAATTAAGTTTTGAAGTTACTCCTAGAGAAGCTTTCTTTCGCTTAAGTCAGAAGGAGCGTACTCATTGATTAAATTACACTTCACATTCATGTCTATAAATTGCCTGAGGCCATAAGGAAACAACAGCCTATCACTACATCTGTCTTGACAAAAAAGGAATTACTCCAAGCCGAAACAATCCCACCTGAAGCTCTAATTGAATCAACTTGTGCCCAATCTAAATTAGCATCTACCCATAATTTTTCCACAAATTTCTTAGTTAAACCAACCTTTTTAGACTCTTGTAGAAAAGGAAATTCACATTTTCTAATTTAACCAGATTTCTGATGCTTCTGACTTTTCCTTTTCTACCTAAACCTCTTACATTCAGAGACATGATTCTTGTCACAACCATGAATAACAAAATGATACAACTAAAGCCTAATCAGAACTGAGAGGAGTTAATTGTTCAACTTCCTCAACCCCTCAATCATATCTCTCTCTCATCCATTATAGCTGAGCCCTAAAACCTTTCCTATTTTACAAGCTCTTTTCGCTTCAATTTCGTCTTCCTCCTTGTCAAAATTATTTAAGGCTAATACTTCTACTAATTTATCAAACGAACTAATTTGCTGCTAAGTTTCTACACTTTGCTTCACCGATTTTGAATGAGCCTCTTCAGAGCGCAAACGAGCCAACTGATTTCTTCTAAAGATTGATCGAATTGTGATAAAAGATAGTTGGGGTTGGTGATCTTCATTTGGAGCTTGGTTCAAGTCACTTAACAAATTAAAATTTGACAAATCCACTATCAAATCAAGTTTATTCATGATGGGCCTGGCACAAAAGGAGTGTTAAGACCCAAGTCCTCCTAAATATGCTCACTATAATTTTCCTTATCTGATTCAATATTATTTCCATCGAATTTTTTTATTTCTAGAAATAACGCTTCAATATTATTTTATTAGGATAAACAAGATGTTATTTTGAAGTTTCTTCTTCTTGTGAAAAACAAACTATTATCATTCTAAGGATAGAAGACTTTTTTATAGTTCCAAGAAGATCATTACACGGGGCTCCAAAAGTTACACACATGCATCATTATCAAGTTAAATTATTTTATTCAGTATTAGACTTACAATTTCAAGAACTCAATAGTCATTTTATAAAATGTAATACACTTTTATGTGTTGCATGCTTGAGTTCTACTGATGCATTTTCAATTTTCAATAAGGAGAAATTGACTGCCTTGCTCATTTTTATCCATTGAAATTTTTTATTGTAGAACTTATGACTCTTGATAGTCAACTTGAAACTTATGTCATAGATGTGCGAACTAGTGATGATTTTGTAGATATTAAAGGAATTGGTGATCTTGCTAAGAAGTTGATTGAGACAAAATAACATCTTGTTTATCCTTTAATCTACTTATCAAATTAGCATTGACTTTATCAATTACAATTGCAAGTGTGTAAAGTGTGTAAAGAACATTTTCCTCAATGAAGATTGTGAAGAATCGGTTAAGTAATTGAATGGATGACAAATTGATGAATAATTGTTTAGTAACTTACATTGAAAATGATGTATTTAATTGTATGGATAATGAAATGATTATTCAACCATTTCAAAATATGAAAATTCGCTGAGGACAATTGTAATTTTTTTAAGATTATATATTATATTAATGTTGAGATGAAATTGGCTCCATTAGCAAAAGTTTCTGGCTCCTCATCGTATAGGATGCTTAATTCAATTTTAGATAAATATAAATTAATTAAAAATATTTTTTTCAATTTCATTTGATAACGCCTTGCCAACATTACATCAATTGTGAATCTTCAAAAAACTTGTGAACCCAATCTCGGTGGAAAATTTTTCATATTAAATGTGATTGTCATGTTTTAAATTTATGTGTATAAAATGGTTTCAGAGTTCTTGATTCATTTATTTGTCCAATTAAAAAACTATTTTATTTTTATGGGGATACTCAAATAATGAAAAAATGGGCTAAATTTTATAAAGAAAACAATAAAAAGACCAAAACGTTTTTCAAGGAAAGTCCTAACTCATTGAAATTCAACATATGCATTATTAAACTAGTCTTTTGAATATAGAGAATTATTGTGGCACATTTTTACTAAAAATGTGACATAAGTTAATTTATATCCATAAAATTGAAAATTTTGTACAAAAACATGGATATTTTAAAATTTTTTAATGATGCCGTATATACTTTTAGTGATGTTTATTATCTCACATCTCATTTATTTTTGCCTATATGTATTAATATTATTGGTGCACTTCAAGAATTTGAAAATAACAAATTATTAAAAGATTGCATTTTTCAATGAAAAAAATGGTTAAATTATTTTTAAAATATTTCATCCCTTTTCTTGTTACTAGAGTTTTTATCTTATATGTAAATTTGACATTTTATATGATTTTTTCATTCTTTATTATGAAATATTAAATCTAGACGTAGAAGATAATGTTTATGTAAATGTAATAATGAATGAAGTTAAGAAAAATATTGTTGATTTATATATTGAATTTATTCAATTTTCTGATTCATCTGTTTTTTATTTGTCTCAAATTCATAATCAATAATTGACGGCTGGAAGGGTAAATATTGCTGAATGATTATTATTACAAAGGAAAAACAAAAAGATCTAGAGAATTCGGTTTCGATTCTACTTCGATATTTGACAATTACCGCTATCTTCGAGTTTAATAATAGTTTTGCAGGTAAAAACTTTTCAATTCTACATTGGTGGGTTTGTCATGTCAATACATTCTCAATCCTAGCACTAATAGCAAAATAAAATTTAACAGAATTGATCTCGACTATTGTGGTTGAACAGACTTTTAGTGTGGAGAAAAATATACCAGATGAAATACGACATAAGATGATACTTGAACTAATAAAAGCACAAATATACTTAGATGATTGGACCAAGGTCGAACTAAGAGTAAAAGAGAATGCCAAAAAAGGAACCTGAAATTTATATAATCTTTTCGATGGTTTCTCAAGAGGAAAATCCACCGGTGCCAATAATGTCTAAGTAAGGTAACAAGATGAAATTTATATAAGGGAAGATAGAACATCTCAATAAGGTAACATGACTAAATATATACAAGGTAAATTAGAATTACCTGAGTTTTGATTTATCTAAATGTCAACATGATATGCAGTCAATTTAATTTTTGTTTTAAAAAAATTAAGTTCAAGCTTTTGTTTTGTAATATTTTTAAAATTATTTTATAAATTTTTAAATTTTAAATTTTGAACTAAAAATGTTATCTAATTTTTAGATTTTAAAATTATGCCGCCCCCTGTCCAACTGTTCAGCTGTGCAATGTAGAAAATTGGGTCTCTATAGCACTTATTTTAATATTTTCCCATTTGAATACAGACAAGAAAATATTTGGTTGATGCACAACACTTTCATGCCTCATCAGATCCTCTAAAGAGAAAACGGAAAAACAAGTCTTCTCTGCAACTGAAAGTATCAATCACAGCATTTGAACTTTGAAGCCTCTATTAGCATTGAAATGGGCAGATCGCTAGTCTTTTCCACAAACATGCCTCTTAGATTTTCTCACATACCCAGATCATTTCCCCCTTCCAATTACCTAAACCAATGTTTTCCACAAAGATATAGTGAAAATTCCCAGTGTGGGTATGGCAGTATTCACTTGAAGCTAAAACCTAAAAGAAATTTATGTACGAAGGCTGTAGTGTCAGAGTTTCCTAATCAAAAGCAATATCCCAAAGTGGGTGCCCAATCAACTGGACCTATACCAACTAGCCAGCTCATTCAAGTAGTTGAGACTGCTGCAAAGACCGGTGCTGAGGTCTGTTTTTCTGTTTCTGTTTTTTGAATTATGAGATAGACTCTAATTATAGCTGTTTGTTTGCGTTTCCTTTCTTTAGTATGCTATTTTCATTTGTTTGTTTCAGTTTTATAGAAATTTTAATTTTTAGGCTTAATGATAATAAAATTTGGAACTTTGGCTCTTCTTATGATTATTTTGAATCTTTCAAAATTTCTTATTTTGAAGTCACAAACTTTAATTGTTGGAATCTTATTCTGCTCAGTTGATTTAAAATTGTTGTTTATTTGTTAATACGAATAATAAGTTACACTGACACTGTACTAGAAGTAGGAAACTAAGCATGAAGTCTGTTCCTGGAGGACCTGGAAATATATGATTTTACATTTGATGTTGGAGCCATATATGCTCTAGAAATTGGAGTTTATGTCACATCAGATTGTTCTTGGCACATTGTAGGTCCATATCTCATGGTTAATTGTCCTTATTAACGAATTAGCAGTAATTTTGGATAAAAGTTTGACTGTGGTTCCAATTGATACAATTAGAAGAATTAGATACAACTGTTGTTTGGACTAAGAGTAAATTCTTGTATGATTCTGTTACTAATTCTTGGAACATTAATTGTTTCACTTTTATGGCTTGTTTAGTCATTGTTATTTTAAAGAAACCTTAAAATAATTCTTAGAACGAGATGTAATATTTCTAGATTTTCAGTATCTCCTTGTGGTTACTGAAGCATTCTCTATTTCCATCCAGGTAGTGATGGACGCGGTGAATAAGCCTCGAAATATCTCGTATAAAGGACTTACTGACTTGGTGACAGAGTAAGAACTTATCAATATTTTTTATATCTCACTAATAATATGCCATCAAACAAAGTTATGATCTTAAAGTGAAAAATGTGTCACTTTCATGATGTAGGAATAGTAAGATTCTCACTTTATTTTTCAATGTTATTATAAATCATAGTTTTCTGCTTTGGATATTGTAGATGCACCCTTAACAAACTTGTTGATTGAGTTGTTTTAGAATAGTAACCATAATTAGAATGATCATGGTTTTTTCTGCTTTGGACATTGTAAATGTACCTATATAAATTTGTTCAGTAACCATAATTACAGTGCTGAATGTTTTTCTATGTACTAAACAATGTTCCTATTTCTGAAATTGATTAATTATATAGGTTAGACATTTCAATAAAATGAGTGCCCATGATGTGGGAAAAATCCCACATTGGGTTGTTAGAGAGGTATTCTGGGTCTTATAAGTGGGTAGCACCCTCCCTTGGCAACTTTGTTTTCAAGATGGCTTCTACCTCCCTTTATTAAGTATCAAATTGGTGTCACACTCACTCTCCAGCTGCTCTTTTGGCTTGAGGATTAAATAACCCTTGGTGGTGAGCCAGTCTTGCAGAGTTGGCCTCATAATTGAGTGGGCACCCTCCCTTGTTAAGCAGGTTTTTCAGGGTGAATTCTACCTCCCCTTATTTGGCATCAGCTAGATTAACAAGAATTTCAAACCTCAATTATTGCTAAAAAATAAGTTTATTTGTCTATTTTCTGAAGATGAAATATTTATACTGCAAAGCATTGGTTTCTTATCTGGTTCCAGCAGCTATTCTGACATTCTACTGGAAAAAATTAGAGAATTTTTTAGCCTACGTCAACACTTATGCACTAACGCTATTCTAACATGTTTTACTTTCGTTTTTTCATAGTTAAATTATCAAGAATGACTGGCATGAGAATTCCCTATATGTGGGAGGCTTATAGTATCTCAATATTTTATTTGGGTTTGTCGTTATAATTTCCTTTTAACAAAATCATCTGTTGGCTACTCATGAGGACTTTTGGGATGTTTATGGTCAAGGCATTCTAGAAACCCCCTTAGAAGTAGTTTCTGATAAATTTTGACCAAATCATCTAAGAGCTTACTTTTGCTTAAAATTTTAAACAACATGCCAAACTGACATCTCTATAAAAACCTTTTTAAATTCTATTTCACTTTTATCCAGTTTAACTATTCTCAATATGCTCAACTAATCTTTTCTAATCCTTAACTGTGAACTCTTATTAGTTAGCTATCCGGTTCCTTTTATGCTTCGTTTTTTTTTTTTTTTTTTTTTTTTTTTTTTTTTTTTTTTTTTTTTTTTTTTTTTTTTTTTTTTTTTTTTTTTTGTTTATAAAGATCTGCGGTACTAATATTTTAGTTTTTCATTCACTTTTAGACCATGTCATTTCTCTCTCGCTTTTTCCTGTGGTCAGCAACTTGTGTTGGAGATAATGTTCATGTTGATAGTTGTGTCAAGTTTGTGTTTATATCTCAGTTTGCTACAATTGATTCAAAATAGTAATGACCTAATTTGTATTCCAAACAGGATATATCAGGTGATGTTTGATTTGGACAGGGTCTCATCACATAGTTTTGGTTTCTCTTTGTGATTTTCTGTTATGTCTAAAACTGCTGCCCCTAATATTTCCTGTTTGCCAACTTATTCAGCCACATTTCTGCATAATCAAGTCTTTGTTGGATATGGTCATATTGTTTTGATGCGTCTCCTTCAGCTTATCCTCACCTTCACATTACCATTGCATATTCTGTTTCTTATGTTTTCACATTTGTACCTTTAACATTTTCATGTCTGTAGAAGAATGTGGAAAATTATTGTTGTATGTTTTTTCATCAATAGGGTCACATATATATACATATACAGGATACTATAAACCTATTAGGAATCTAACTCCTAACAGAACTCTATTTACAATTAGTCCTTAACAATTAGCTCCTTTAACATCCCCTCAAGTTTTGCGAGCATAGATGTTATCATTGCCCCAACTGTTACAAAGATAGTTAACCGAGTCCATCTTTAGAGCTTTGTAAAACTATTCTCCTAACTGTTCACTTGTTTTAACATGCCCTTAGAGATAACACCCTGTTGGTATCTTTTCGACTGAATGAAATGACAATCACATTTCGATATTGTTTTGTTCGTTCATGGAATACTGGATTTTGATGCAATGTTGAAGCACACTTGATTTATCAACACCATAACTTGCAGGCAAGGATCTGACTTAAGCCAATGTTCCTTAAGAATTGACGAATCCAATGTCTCATCAAAGTAAGGAATGCGCCATAGCTCAGGATATTCTGATTCAGCACTCGATCGTGAGATATATTTTGTTTCTTGTCTCCTCACACGGCAATATCAAGTTTCCACCCACAAAGAAGCAAGCATATCCTTTGAAAGTTGATCTTCTATCAAACTTCGCCCCCCCCCCCCCCCCCCCCCCCCCCCCGAACCTGCCCCAATCCACATCCGAAAACACACTTCCAACTGTCCAAATTGCCACTTGATTACTGCTACAAGAGAGGCCATCAACTTGGATTACCTTTCAGAGGTAGCACAAATTTGTCATACAAAGCTTTCCCAATGAATAACAGTAGGAGAAGACATAAAAAACTGGCTTAAGACGCTCACAGAGTAAGCAATATCTGGACGTGTTACCATAAGATAACTTTCAGTTTGCCACCAATTCTATACATTATCAAGATCATCAAATAGCTTACCATTATAAAAGTTTGCAACTATTAGGAGTCAATGGAGTACTGCATGGCTTGCGCACCCCAACTTCCGTTTCCTTTGTAAGTCAAGGACATACTTCCTTTGAGATTATAGGAAGATGGCCTCTCTTAACCTAGATACTTCTATGCCCGAAAATACTTCACAATCCCTAAGTCTTTTGTCATTAGACTGAGTCTGGAGGATATGGACTTGAGTTGATGTAATGCCGCAGAATCAACTCCCTGATAATAACAATGTCATCACATAAAACCACAAGTAAGATCAAAACCAGTGTTAGTATTCTGAAAAAATAACAGAATTGATCAGAAGTTTACTCTTTCTTGCATTGCCAATATTGGTGAAAACCACATTGCAAAATCTACCAAACCAAGCTCGAGGACTCTGATTTTAGGCCATAAAGAGATTTTCAAGTTTACACACTTTTACCAACTCCCCCTGAGCAAACAAAAGGCCTGGTTGGTTGTTCCATGTAAACTTCCTTCCATGAAGATCGCCATGAAGAAAAGGCATTGCCTTAAACATCCAAAGGCTGATGTACAAGGCAGTCAAAGTAGCTGCCTAAAGAAATAAACAACGAACAGAAAGACAATTTGGCCACAGGGAGAAAAAGTATCAGGAGTAATCAAGGCCATAAAATCTTGAGAATGGCCTTAGCAAACTAATCGCCTTGAGACGGAGCAACAGATCCATTAGGATTCATTCTAACCTGTGAAAACCCATTTACAACCAATAGCTTCTTATCTGCCGGGAGAAGGCCAACAAGGATCCCAAAGTTAACCATTAGCATCTAAGCAGCCATCTCCTCTTTCATTGCTGCCACACCAACAGGGATGGGACAAAGCTGAATCAACAGTTTTTAGGGATAGAGACAGTTCATAGGTTACTTGCAAAAACAACGACGATGAAGTAGAAAGATGATTCATAACCTAACCAAAAGGAAGAATAGGTAGGTACACGTGCGTTTACCTTTATCGTAAGAAGCTAGGGGTGAAGTCAAAGGTCTGACGGAGCAGTGGATGGCACGGCGTCAGGTGAGTTGGGAGGGTAATCGATCTTTCTGTTGAAGCGTAGATATGGGAAGTGAGTCAAGAGTTCTGGTCTCCCATGAATAAACGCTTGTCCAAAAATAATGCAGGGCGGATAAGATGCTGTTGAGGAGGGGACGATAGGTAGGAGCAGATCGCTATGCCAAGCCGGAGCAGAGCATCAGTTGGTGCAAATCAGGAACATGAACAACGAGAGGAGCCAGGCAGGCAGAGCTAGGAAAATTGTTGGATATGTGTTAGACTAAAAACTATTCATTCCTCCCCCTCACTTCTTTGAACTTAGTACTAGGTGATCTTCTCCTCGTAGCGTCGCTATCGCTGTTGAACGTAGCGCCCTTATCATGCTTCGTGTAGGAGGAGAATGAAGGGAAAAAATGGAGTAATTCTCAAAAAATGTGACATCGACAGAGAAATAAGGATTAACGGGTCAAGAGCGGGAGAGACAACAACGATATCCCTTTCGTGACCGAGGAATAACCCAAGGAAAATACAACCGAAGGGTGCTAGTGGTATTTTAGGATTCTAATTTAGAACCTGTGACGGAACATCCATCGAATACATTAAACAATGTACAGACCAAAAATCGAGGTTCATATAGGGAATAAGGTTAGAAGGAAAAAAGACACTATCTAAGTTAATGGCACCCGATTACAGACAGAAGAAGGATGCGATTATCAAAAACATTGCAGTAGAGACGGCATCCGCCCCACAAATGTTTAGGGACCTTTCATTTTGAAATAGGAGTGGCCTAGAACCTCAAGAAGATGCGATTTTTTCTTTCTGCAACCCCATTTTTGAGAGTATCGAAACACAAGCATGTTTGATGAAGAATACATTTGGTACTATAAGATTGGAAGGAAGTAAATAGTTATTCTTTAGGGCATTGTCACTTTTGCAATGTGTGCGAACAGAGGTATTAATGATTTTTAATCTCAGCACAAAAAGGAACAGAAAAATAGAGAATATCTGGCAGAGAGCGGATTGTTGCATTAAAAATAACCAAGTAAACACGAGACATATCATCCACAAAGTTACGAAATATCGAAAGCCAGTTTTAGAAATAACAGGACATGAACCCCAAACATTCAGGAAATGAACCTAACTCAAAAGGGATTGAAGCCCGTTATTGACGTCGGGAACTAATAAGTAATACGATTGAACTGTTCTGGCAAATTGACAGATTTTCACATTTCTTAAAAATGATAAAGACGTGGGAAAAACTGCGGACAACAACTTCTTTTAAAGTAGTCAATGAAGGATGACTAAAGCCACCAATGAACCTCAAGAGGTGAGAGAGCAGCACCGAAGAAAAAACCCCCCCATCAAGCCAGAGATTGTACCCGAAACAATTGGTTCTACCAGATAGATAAAGAGCCAACCGAAGATCTCACGTGTCCGGTCTTACCAATAATCCCGCTTCGTCCAGAAAGATCCTAAAACACACAATAAGGTAGGATAAATTTAACACAGAATTTCAGGTAGCGGGAGTAATTTTGCTAACAGATAACTCGATTGACAGTACGAGAAAAAGCGTTGACCAAATGATTAAACAATAAAGCCATTTACTGTGTGACTCTATATCGACAACTCTTCTTGTCTTTTTTCTGCATGGGGGTATAGACGTTCATTCGCAAAATCTCGCCAGGCAGCATCGAAGGCCCATCGAGTATATATTGTTTGCAAAGTTGACTAACGTTCTCTAGAATGGTTGATTGGCAACTCAAACATATATATAACAGAACAACACCAACGGCTTACAGTCCAAGATAATGGTAGGATTGGGATGGGAGTGTCTCAAGACATTTTTCCTGTCCGCTTATGCTGTTCCCATCACATAGTTAGCGTAAATGGTTCCTCCTTTCCAGTGCTTATCACACCAACAACTCTATTATAGAGCGATGATGGAACCATAATTCGCGAGCCATAGAAGTGACTTGAACAGAAAATTTTAGTTCAATGTATCGCAGCTTAATTGTTCAGTTCTTTAACTAAGGATAAGAGACAGGGTTACCTGTCATTATGATCTGTGCAACCAGAATCATTCATTGTGTTCTGACCCACTCTGCATCAACATTTGAGTGATAAACGGTAGACAATAAAAGACATATTTGTTAGTTATGTACTCCTGCTTTTCAAGCCAGGGCTGTTGAGCGCAGAACAATATAACAATGTATGGAATCTAAAGTGGCCAGCTTAGTAAGTGTAGCGGTGTGTGATTTGAGAGAGCCATTCAGCATACACTTCTCGCTCTCTTTGTCAGCACGAAATTGTTTACGCAGGTGTTCTCAGTATAAAGAAATGAGTACGGCAGTAATTTGAGTGGCCATAATTTGCCCTTGGGAGGCTTCATTAGTTTGAGCCAGGTTGCCTATATCAAGGAGAGTACACGTTTAGTTGTAGACCGAGGATATTCATCGGCTCATAACGGAGTAGTGTGATAAGAAAGGAGTGCTGTACCTCAGTCCTGTATTAATTCGGTGCGCGATTACATGAACGTTCACTTCTTCGCTGCTTCCGTTGTTTGGCCTGCCTGGGCATCGAACCTATACTAACTGTAGTGAGTGTGCGAGTCACTATGTGCTATATCTATCTTAAGATGTGAGATGGTTACGAAATGTATAAGAGAACCGGTCGTACGTAGAGTAATCTGGCCAAAGTCTCCTGTGGTAGTGAGTAAGCGTCTCGAGTTAAGAACTGTCTTGCACAGAAGAACACGTGATCTTTCTAAGGCTTTTATTTGCTCGAAAAGTGTGTGAGCCGGACGCTATAATATCAAATTTTACAGCCATCAGTCTGTAATCCTAATATCGCCTAAATGGCAATATAATATAATACGTAAACTTCTTAAAATTCCTGAAAATAAGCTGTTGAGGGGTTTATCTTGTGGTCGGCTCTCGATAAAATCTTGCAGACCTTCATACATACGGATAGATTACCTTTTCCCGAGTTAACAAAAATTCAAGATAATCCATCAGTTCCTTAACAAACTCACAATGATTAATTAACCCAATACGCTCACTGTCCAATCGAAATTCCCGAAGAGCTGTAAAAATAATCGAGCATCCTCTCTAAGCCAGATTTGCCTAGTAGCTCCTTCAGGTGGATCATTGGTCAAGTGGTCATCCTTATCCAAACTACGAAAATATATACGAACTGTTTTACTCCATGTTAGAAAATTGGAGCCAGTAAGTTTGTGTTCCGTTATTTTATTCAGTAATGGCATCACATCAGTGATGACAGGTTTCGATTCTGAAGTCTCCATGATTTGTGATGAAACGCTCAAAAACAAATGTAACATAGCAAAGGAAAACCACAATTCTTGGTAACTTGATAGCAGAATAGCAAATAGGCAGCAGCACAATATAAATTCACAAATTCAGACTGTACCCGATTCACAAATTCAGACTGTACCCGGCAAGGCGACAGCAAAGGTGCAGCACAAAAAACACCACAAAAGTCAAAGAGAGCCGACGCAACACACTGGGTTGCACTGTACTGGTAGAATCGACGCCGGAAACTGAGAGCCGGTGAACGGAGATGGCCGGACGCGCCCTCACGCGCCAGCGCGTGAAGAAGGGCAGAAACTTTCGAGTGGCGCATGAAGCCCACTCGCGGGGATTCCGGTGACCGGATTCGGAGGGAGAGCCGATCAGCGGCCTGTCCTTCTTCCTAGGGTGGCGGTGAGACAAAAACACCAGCCTATGTGGGTGACCTAGACTGGCAGTCACCAAAAACTACCTCTGCCTGTAGTTTCAACACAAAAAAAAAGAGCAGAGAAAAAAAAATAACGAGCCCAGTGGCTCTGATACCATGTAGAAGAATGTGGAAAATTATTGTTGTATGTTTTTTCACCAATAGGGTCACATATATATACATATACAGGATACTATAAACCTTAACATATATCAGGATCACTATTAACACCTATTAGGAATCTACATCCTAACGAACTGCTATTTACAATTAGTCCTTAACGTCAATTATGTTTGTTCATTGTGGAAAATTATTGTTGTATGTTTTTTCACCAATAGGGTCACATATATATACATATACAGGATACTATAAACCTATTAGGAATCTAACTCCTAACAGAACTCTATTTACAATTAGTCCTTAACGTCAATTATTTTGTTTCATGGACTTCTTTTTTATTAACAAACATGAATGTAGCTGATCACTATTTTTTCGGATTTACCTTTAATTTAAGATACGGTGTATGGACAGAGAGCAATGCATTCATTTTCTCCATTTCAACAATTTTGCTTTGACTTGTGGATGATATCTTCTTAAATATCATCATTGCAAGATGGAACTTAAAAACCAAAAGTAATCACATTGAAGCTTCTCTGCTCATCTGATCAAATAACATGTTTTTCTTTATTTCTAGCATCACTATGGTCACAATATATATTGTTTTAGTTTACCTAGACAACTCTGCTGCATTATTAGATGTGTTTGAACAGCTGAGATATACTGGTATGAACAATAAGAAACTTTTCACTTTAAAATTGTGAAGTAACTTAATCTGTCATTGCTTGCATTCTTAATAAGACTGTTTCTGGATCTAGCTCCAGACTAGATTTTCTTCATTAATGCAAATTTCTTGCAGGACAGATAAAATGAGTGAGGCTGCTATATTAGAAGTTGTCAGAAAGAATTTCGGGGATCATCTTATTCTTGGTGAGGAGGGAGGAGTCGTAGGAGATACATTATCTGATTATCTCTGGTGCATTGACCCTCTAGGTTTGCCTATTCTCACTATTTATTCCTTTTTTTCTTTTGTTCTTTTTGCCTTTCCTTGACGGAGTTCTCTGTTACTGGATTTTGGAATTATAGTTATATGGAATATAAAGGTTTTTTCTTCAATCTTTGTGTTGACTATATTTCTGGTCATGAATTTTATTATTATTTGTAGATTTGGCTGTATGTTTAGTAGTATGTGATATGCAAAGACTTTCCAGTCGCTTTGTTTACTATGGATTTTATTGAAAGCCTTCAAGTTTAAGGCTTTGTTTGGATGGAGTGAAGGAAGGTTTATTAAAGTAAGGGAAGGTAAGATAAGGAATAATAGGGTAGGTGAAGGTATCTTTTTATGCTTGGAACGAAAGTAAGGTAAACAAGGTTTAGTAATATTATATTGTTTGGTTTGAAAGAATTAGAAAGTAAGGTTAAATATTAGATTACAGAAATCTCCTTATGACAATTGTTATTTCGTATATATAATTTGTTAGAACTATTATTTTAATGAAATATTAATTTACAAAATGTTAAACTAGTTCTTTCTAAATTAAATCTTCAGGTACATTAAAATAAAATTTTTATTGAGAATAAATGTAGATAATGCAACTTGGGGTTTTTGATAAGTAAACATGGAGAATATGAAATCTAGAACTTTTAGCCCTCCCCAACACCCAATTTGGTGGGTTGAAAAATATTAGGTTTTTAACCCTTCAAATAATGATAAAAAACCTTCCACTCATTGAAACCCTCTTCTAAAATAACCCAATAACTTAACCTTACCTTACCTTGCACTCCAAAGAGCCATCCATCCGAACAAAGCATAAGGGTCAAGGGCTATTAAAATTTAAGAGACAGAGAAATGATTTGCTTAGAACTGTCCACTAAAACTTTTTGCTAAGTGTATTATTGATTATCAGAACCTGTAAAACTCAAATGGTTTATATGCTCTTTGATTTGAAAAATATTCAAATACTTTGAGCTGTATCAATGCTTTTCATGCACCCAGTGATAGAGGCAAAAAATTTCCAAGGGGTTCCAGATGAAATAGTATGAAAAATATTAGTAAATTCAAATTTCAATCAATAAAGAACATATTTTGTATGAGTTTACTACTTACGTAATGAAATCAATACTTTTTCACATGTGAACAAAAACTCACATGCATACTATTTAAGCTGCTTGATTACGTATATTAATTTAATCACTATAAATGTCTTTAAAGTTTAAGTTTGTTTCTTTTTTTCTTTTTTTCGAGAAAAGGGTAAATATAGAGTGTTAGTGTCTTTCCATTTTATAAGAAAGCTCCTTAAATTAAATCAGTTAGGAAAAGAGTATTTGAAATAAATTTTATGGCCTATAAACATCTTTAATGATTTGTAGCATGAAGTTTAAGAGAACTTTGGAGATATTATGGCCTATAAATTTTATGGTCTAGCAATTTTAGATGATTATATTCAAATTTGCAACTTTGGAGAGAAAAGAAAAAAACCTTGTTTTTCTGAGGATGGAATCATAGTCAAACTTTGCATCCTAATCCTGAATTCCAGATTTTATGCTGTTTTATGTGGGTGATACACAATTTTAACTTGTAAGATACCAGCAGCAACAATTCTTGGAGTTGTAAGTTCAATTGAATAATAGCCAAGTGCTAGGGGAAGTCAATGGCTGTTGATCTTGACTTTGCTTGACCATGATTATCTTCTACTCCACCTGTTCTTGGTTGCTTCAATGGTCTGAATGAAGTCAGTAAACTTCTTGTTGCCTAAAAATTTCTTAGCAAATTTCAAGAGGTAGAGTTGAAATATTAAATGCTGGACAATAAATTTTTATTAGCAAGCATCTTCAATCAATTGCTGGGGCTCAACTATCTACTACTAAGCCAAACAGCCTGCATGTAATGTGGCAGATAGATGCTATCTTGCGTTAATTTGTTTGTGTTTCTGTGGGTGCACATGAATCTGAGTTCATGAGCCTTTTTTTTTTTATCCATTTTTCCACGTTTCTGTGTGAGTTATGCGCTTATCATGAGATTGCTATTTGCATAGATGGAACAACAAACTTTGCTCATGGTTATCCCAGCTTTGCTGTCAGTGTGGGAGTTCTGTATCGAGGACATCCTACTGCCGCTGCTGTGGTACTGGTCACAGAACTTTAATCTCTCTCTCTCTCTCTCTCACTTTTATGTAAAAGTTTGTATGGTTGTGTCCAAAATGATTAGCTATGCCATTCCATCTCATTTTATTGACCTAGTACAACAAACAGTAGGTGGATACCCTTCATTATAAATTTATGAGAAGAAAGAAAGCAACGGTCAGCAGCATGAGCCAAGATGAAACAAAAAATGAAAGAAAAAGGAGAGACAGAGCAGGTGTTGCATTTCTATAACCCAGTAAGTTCATATGAAGTTACTATAGAGTTTAGATTGATATTGAAGAAAAAGTATAAGTTTAGGATGTAGTTTTAAATTGAAAATTTTTTCTCTAACCTAGTAAATTCTTTCTTCTAATACTATGAAAAATTCTGACCTATAATGATTCTTTTTACTGAAAAGGAAAGTAGGAACAGAGCTAGGCATATGCTATGTAAAGCCTATATCAACTTTCTATTAGACATGTTTCAATTATAAAACAAAAGCTAAAAATTCTGCTTACATTTTTTTTCTGATACCACAGTCTTTTAAACAACTAAATGCAAAGCTAAACCAACTACAATAACTACCCACTAATAACTACCTATTACAATAAGTAACTTGCTTAAGCACCCCACTAATACTTACTAACAAAAGAAACTGATAATAACATATGATAAAAACCGAATAACTAAATAAAACTACCTTATATACAGCAATAAAACTACCCAAGTACAGCAGCTCCATAACATCTTGCATGCGTTCAGATGCATTGTGCAGATTCCACTATTGATTTGACTTGAATGTTTTGAATTGAAGAAGCTGTATATTAGTGCTGTGCAGACAACAACAACAACTAAGCCTTAATCCCAAACTAGTTGGGGTCTGGCTATATGAATTCTTTGTTTCCATTATCCCAGTATTCAATTAATAGCAATTAATAGAACTGTGTGCTCATAACAAGATATTTCTCTTGTTCTTGTTTAAAATTTGATTGTCATATTTGTGATTATTTCATGTTCCTTTCATCTTGTACCTATGTATGTCTATCTCTTTTGAAAGTTGAGGAGAATTTATGGCTTCATGCTATTCACTAAGGAGTGCTTGAGCTGCATTTGTGGCTGCTGGCATGATTGTTCATTCGGTTTGCACTTCTTAAGGGCAATTAAAAATGAGATTCATTCAAGTTTTAGAAATGGCAGCATTTATTGCTTGAATCTTTTGGGGAAAGGCATCATGAATATTTTAAATGGCTGCAGTCTTCTTCAATGAGCGTTTATAGCTTTGACCTAGTGATTGGAGATTGAATGTGATGAGTATTTTTAAATTGAAGAGTGCTTCCAGCTTCTCTCAATTTAGCCCACATTGTCTGTCATTTGAGGTTGTACTAGTGATCCTTTAATGTAAAAATAGGAAGCCATAGCTAAGAAGCTATTTTGTGATAAGTAACATCCTAGTAGTGGTGGTGTTTGTTTTCGTTCTTTTTCATTTAAAAGATAGCGAAATCGTGTTTGCTTCTTTTTTCAGTATTAGGAAAGAAACAAAAGATTTTAGATGCACTTATAGAAAATGGTACCTACCATCAGACAGGAAAAATGTGTAAATTGATGATGTGGCTGTCTTTGTTCAGGTAGAGTTTGTTGGGGGCCATATGGCCTGGAATACTCGTTTATTCTCAGCTACTGCTGGTAAGAAATCCAAGTTTAATGTTTTTAATTTTTATTTATCTACTTCCTATGCTAAAGTTGATACATGATGGAACTAATTCTGATTGTCTTAGGTGGAGGAGCATTTTGTAATGGCCAAAAAATCTATGTGAGTCAAACGGATAAGGTGAGGGATCAGATCTTAATTGAAGATCCATGAGCTCAGATATATTACCAAATAAGTCTAATATATCAGCCGAATGTTGTTGTGCTTAAACGAAAATTTTCATTATGTAGTCCTTAGAAGGAAACTTATTCTCTCAGAGTTGTGACGTTACACTTATGAACGCACACACAAAAAAACGGGCCAAGTATCATCTCTGTGTGTGTCTCTCTCTCTCCCCCCCTCTCTCTCTCTCTCTCTCTTCTAGAATTGCTAATAAGTGAAAAGCTAAATGGACACGTAAATAATAAAACAAATCAGTATGCTGATCTTAATCAATGTTTTGCTGCTGTAATTTTTTTGTCCCTTTTGATTTCGCATATTTTAAATGTTCTCTTCTTTACCAATCATGGAAAAGGGGGAGGAGAAATGAAAAATCAGATTATAACAATAAAGATGCTTGATAATTTTTAAAAACCGCACCTTCTTATTCTGCTTTTGTTTGCATTATTCCTTTCTAGGTGGAGCGGTCCCTTCTTGTGACTGGATTTGGTTATGACCACGATGATGCGTGGGCTACCAACATTGAATTATTCAAGGAGTATACTGATATCAGCAGGGTATTATTGCCATTTTCCTTTTCCAATTTGCCCGTGTGTCTGATTCGGTAATTTTTTAACCTAGTGTAAAAAACACATGATCTTTTTATTTTCTTTCTTGCGCTTGCTCTATCTCCCAATATATATCAAGTAGGGTGTGAGAAGGCTTGGTGCTGCTGCAGTTGACATGTGCCATGTAGCTCTTGGCATTGTTGAAGCATATTGGGAATACCGCCTAAAACCATGGGATATGGCTGCTGGTGTCCTGGTAAAGTTCTTTATCTTGTTAGATGCATTTGCTTATGAAATTGCCTATTTCCTAATTTGAGGGTTGAATTATTATTTGGTGGGATTTTAGCCTTCAAGCATGTTGCTTGAATTTCATTTAGAAGATGAATAAGATATCATAAAGAAGGAAGAGAATTCCAAATTGGAGGATAATCTTCATAAAATGTACCAACAAAAGAAAATTGACAGAGTAACATCGGACCAATCTCATTGATGGGCTGAAAATACTCCTTTCAAACACTGTGTAGTAAGAACAAGTAAAATTCCAGGAATATTATTATTTTTTATTCTTGAAGATCTGGGCCTTTCTTTCGAACATACTTAAAATTAGAGCAAAAACTACGTAGTACCATAATCTTTGAACATCTTTCCTCCTGCAAAACTCTGTTCCATTATCAAGAAACCATTAAATTTCATCGTATTACTAGTTTTCCTCGGTATGAAATAAATGATTCCAAACATATGAAGTGGCGATTTCACTTTGGCTTAGTAGTACGTCCTTTTTAAATGTAACCATTTAGTAATAATGACACACTTTTTGGGAATCTATAATGGCAAAAACCTGATTTGGATTCTAGCTTCTGTTTCACGCTATTCTCCTTATCCCTGCTCCTAGCATAGGAGACTAGGAAGTTTTATTGCTTTGCTGAATATTTTTATTAGTATTCTGTGGGTAAATTATACCAACGGTCACTTAACTTTACATTTAATTTCATAAGGTCACATGAGTTTAATTTGTCATTTTTTAGTCACTAAATTTTGATAATTGTTTCAACGAGAGGTCACTCACCAGAATACCATCATTGAAAATACTAATATTGTAATAAAAATAAACATTTTATTTTCAAAATAATTATTTTGTCCCAATACATTAATTTGGAATCTATCTATTAATTTAATTAACAAATAATATCATTTACATGAAACAAGTTTAAAAAAAATAAAAGAGAAAAAAATTTTCACCCTATTTTTTATATTGTGTAGTATTATCTTTTCTTTTTTATTTATTTTTATTTTTTATATTCCTTCGTAATCATGATTTTATTTTTGTGATATATATAATTTTTAATGTCATATTACTGTTTTGATTACTGGATTTCAATAAGTGACCTCCCATTGAAACAAAAATTAAAGTTGAGTGACTAAAGAATGACAAATTGAAATTATGTGACCTAAACAAAATTAAGTGTAAAATTAGGTGACCATTAGTATAATTTACCCAGTATTCTGCATTACAAGTTCCATATCTTAAACAGATTTCTTTAAGAAAAACAATTAAATAGAAGGGTAAATTTAATGTTCAAAAATTATAATTCATTAACCACTCTTCCAACTGAAGTTATCAAGCTGTTACAATTGGGAAACTAACTAGTATCTGCAATAACAAGAGACTAGGTAAAGAAAATGTAGGATGTTATAATTGCATGGACTGAACCAAGAACATGCATTATGTCTTGGATTCAAGGTGATTTAGTTGCTGATTGTTTGGGATGTAAAATTGTTTTCTTTTCTTTTGTAGTTTGTAACTACTTAAGAAATAATGTAGATTGGCAATGCTTAGGGAACGTCAACAAGAACAAGAACAAGAGCAACAACTAAGCCTTAATCCCAAATTAGTTGACAATTCTTAGAGAAAACTTTATGTTGAAATATTAGAGACAGGTATGGAAGAAAGATTTTCTTTATTTTTTTATTGAATAACGTGATTACATCTAATCTATTTATGCACAAGAATCTAACTCTAAAATAGGAAAATATACAGAAGGAAGGATCAATGCTTTCTCCTGAATAGGCTATACAAAGATATTTTAGATTACATAAGTCAACACTGTCCCTCAAGTTGGTGCACAGATATTGCACATGCTCAATTTGCAATGCTAATGGCTGCCTTGTTATCACAGAAAAATGTTGAATCCTCTCTTTACAGCATTTGCAACTTTTCCATTTATCTTCCAGCCATAACAATTCACAAGCCCTTTGAGCCATAACTCTATATTTTGCTTCCACCCTCGATTGTGCCACCACATTCTACTTTTCTTTGTAATTAAAGTAAATATTGTCTTTCCTAGTTTAAGTTTATTCCTATTTAGATTACTTCCTATATTGGAACAATCTTTTGTATCATTATCTTTCCGAGCCATAACATTCACAGAAGCCCTTTGGCAGCATAACTCTAATTTTGCTTCCACCACTCGATTGTGCCAACAATTCTATTTTCCTTGTAATTAAAAGTGAAATAGTGTCTTCCTAGTTTAAGTTTATTCTATCTCTAGATTAACTCCATATTGGAACAATCTTTTGTTATATATATCTATATGTGGAGTAGAGATTGAAAAATATAAGGAGTAGAGATTGAAAAATATAACACAATAAAAAGAAATACGACATATTCTTTTAATTTCTTCATGGTATCAGAGCCATTGCCGTGAATTTTTCGGCAACGGTTTCGGTTTGAGAGTGGGCTGACATACACACAGTACCGCCGGGAGTAGGAGTTGGTCATCACCGCCTGGCTCAGAAGGAAGAGCGACCGCCGATCGACCCTCCGTCCAAACCGTGTCGCCGTCTGACCATGCGCATGTGCACACGGGCCTCTAGAAGATTCTGGCCGTTCTTCACGCGCCGGCGCGTGCTGCTGTTTCCGGCGAGCTCCGTCGACGTTTCTTGTTTCGGCGGCCTCGACTTGTTGTGGCGACTTTCCCTTACTGGTTCTTCAGCACCAATTTTGCTTTTTTGGAATTTTTTTCCCTTTTTGGTTTATTTCTACCACTGCTGGTTCTTCGCCGCTGCCGCTTGAATATTGTTTTTAGTCTGACAATATGAGTGATGGAAAGAAGGTAGATATGGGTTTTCACTCAAGAGAGCCCCTCACTTCAGAGTAGTCCGGTGAAGTTAGATGGAACAAACTACCTGGCTTGGTCTCGATCTTGTTTATTATTCATTGAAGTAAGAGGTTTGCAGGGATACCTTGATGGTGGACCGACTAAACCAGTTTCAATAGATCCGAGCTTTAACAAATGGAAATCTGAGAACTCTCTTATTATGTCTTGGTTAATAAATTCTATGCAGCCCACTATTTCCCGAGGCTATTTGCTTCTTGATACAACTAAGAAGATATGGGATGCCGCTTCACAGACATATTCGCAAATTGGAAACTATGCTCAGAGGAAACTATGCTCAGAGGTATGAATTGCGATAGAAAGTTCATGAAACCAAGCAGGGAGATCTGACTATCGCTCAGTATTTTGCTGAACTTAGTGGGTTATAGCAGGAACTGGATTATTACCAAGACTTTCAAGCAAAATGTGCTGATGATGTGACTCGAGTTCAGAAGTTGATTGAAGTAGAACATGTGTATGATTTTCTAGCTAGCCTAAATAACGAGTATGATCAGATTCGAGTCCAACTTCTTGGACAAGATCCTTTTCCATCCTTACGTCAAGCATATTCATTTGTACAGCAAGAGGAGACTCGGAGGATTGCTATTGTTCACAGATCTACAATTGATAAAGCAGGGTTGATTGCTAATTCTGCAAGAGAACATATACAGGCTGCAAAGAACGGTTCTTCAGACAAAGATCAATTATTTTGTGACTATTGCGGTAACTATTGCCCGGTATAGAACCGAACACTAAGGAGTTCTGTGGAAATTACATGGACTAGCCCAATCTAAAGGGGCGGTGGAGGGAGCGGTTCAGTTCTTCTAGACCGCAGGCACACATATCTTGATGGTGGCAGTTTATCTGAGGCAACCATCTATTTGTTGGTAGCTTTTTCTGAATAAGCGAAATTCAGTCCCCTGAAACGATTGTTTTGTCACAAAGTGCTGAATCTTCCTCAAGTTCAGATTGCAGCCTCTAATTTTGTTAATTCAGATAAATGCTTTTCTTAACTTTCTGTGCAAAAATGTGCAAAACCCTCTTGCGGTTTAGGTCAAGAGCAAATAAACATACTAACAGGCTTATAAAACATTTCCTCACATATCTAAGTATCAAGGCACATGAAAAAAATTTTTTTTTTCTGCATTTGCGGGATGGCTCTTAGTACTGATTGCTCACAAGTCTATTGATTGTACTTCCAATATTAAAACGTCCCTTTTGTTCTTCATGTTCCTCAGATTCCTATTAATCTATCTCTGTTAGCTTAATCACAACAGCACTTAATTGCAGGTAACTTTTTACCCTATTTATTTGTATACTTTCAGGACTGAAACAAGGAGAGAAAGATTGGAAGTGGTAGCTGCGCGATGGGATGGACTGTATCTGTTGGATGACATTTGTCGTTTTTCAAATTCGGGTACTGGTCAAGTTTTGTTAGGAACTTCTAGAAATCCTTCCCATGAAGTTATTCAATGGCATAGGAGATTAGGACATCCCTCTTTTTCTGTTTAAGGACGTTTATTTCCCACTTTATTTGCTAAGTGTGATTTTGATTCATTAGTATGTGATGCTTGTGAAGTTGCCAAACACACCATGCATTCGTACTCTCCAATTAATAATAAAAATTTGATTCCTTTTGCTACTATTATTCTGATGTATGGGGTCCCACTAAAACTGTCTCTCTTTCTGGTTATAAGTGGTTTGTGACCTTTATTGATTGTTGCACTAGATTGACTTGGATTTATTTGATGAAAACAAAAAAGTTTTTCGTGTTTTCAAGAACTTCATAAAAATGAAATTGTACTCAGTTGATGTGCATGTTAAAATCCTAAGAACTGATATGACAGATAACTGAATACATGAATGGTAGATTTTCGTGCTATTTAGATTCAAATGGTATTATCAAACTAGTTGTGTCAATACTAGTGCTCAAAATGGAGTAGCGGAAAGGAAAAATAGGCATTTATTGGAAGTAGCTAGGTCTCTTATGTTCACTATTGGGGGGATGCTATTTTGACTGCTGCGTACCTTATCAATCGTATGCCTCTTCGTATTTTAAATTTCAAAACTCCATTAGAGGTTCTTCAAGGAAAAAACTCTT